CAATTCCAGAATAATTTGTGAGGACGTCGCACGCGAGAGCGCAGTCCTGAGTACATTGTGAGGAAATCTCAAGCGGAAGCGGGGGCCCTGACTAAGTTGCGAGGAAGTCGGGAGCGCCGTACCTGAGCAAATTGCACGGAAGTCTCAGGCGGGAGCGGGGGTCCTTACTAAATTGCGGGGAAATCTCAGGCGGGAGCGCCGTTCCTGAGTCAATTGCGCGGAAATGTCAGGCAGGAGCGGGGGTCTCGAGTAAAATTCGAAGAAGTCTCAGGCGGGAGCGCCGTTCCCACGTAAATTGCACGGAAGTCTCAGGCGGGAGCGGGGGTCTTGATTACATTGCGAGGAAGTCTCAGACGGGAGCGCCTTTCCTGAGTAAATTGACAAACAAACAACAACAACAACAACAACAACAACAACAACAACAACAACAACAATCACTTTACCCGAACGCTCAGTGTCTCACCAGTGCCAGGGTTTTCATGCGACGCCAGCCAATACCCCCACTTTGTGGGGGGGCAGTGCAAGCTCTACCAAATATTCCACACGACTCTTCGCCACCACCCACACCCAGCTTCCCGCCCTATGACGTTCGGACACTTCACTTCGTGGCCTGCGGACGACCGTGGCTACTACACTGGCGTGGAGTACACACCCACAGAAGTTGTTAAGCCTACGTTCGTACACCCACAGAAGTTGTTAAGCCTTGTTAACCCACAGAAGTTGTTAAGCCTTCCACAGAACATCTGTTGCATATGATGCATATGGTACATGATCCACATGATACACATGATACGTACTCACAAGATAGTTGATCACATCTTTAGGGCAAATTCCTGAGGGATGTGGGAATACACAAGAGAGAGAGGATATGGTTGTCCCGATGGTTGTTGATGGCCCTGGCAGGTGCGCAACCGTTGTCGCAGAAGTTCGAAAAAGTTGCTCGCAAAAGCCCGTTTGACAGAAATGTTTAAAAAGTGTTGGGTTTCCTACGAATCCGCAAGAGCGCGCGGGATGAGATTTTGACAATTGTTTGTTGAAAAACCCTTGATTTTTTGATGTTTTTATGTTAAAATCGCTGCGAACACTAAGGTTTTGGAAGGATTTCGTCTTGCGCGCGCGAATGTCCACTTTACCTTATTTTTTGCAAGGGATTCTTGAAATTTGATTATATTAGAACAAGAAATGTCATTTTCTATTGTTTTTTGCAAGGGAAAGCGGATTACAACAAAACAACCGGATCCTGTACACACCCTCTTTTCTGAGGCTTCCTCACGAAAATGATGAAAATGTAGCTGCGGCCTAGGCGGCGCAGGGGGGGCGCGCACCAGGGGGCCCAACAATAATTATTCTTTAGAATAAATAATGTTCAACAACAACAACAACAACAACAATTACTAGCACGTGGGGACACTCCGTTCTCACCAGTGCCAGGGTTTTCATAGGAGGCGGGCAATACCCCCACTTTGTGGGGGGGCCGGTTCAAGCTCTACCAAATTTCCAAACGACTCTTCGCCACCACCCACACCCAGCTTCCCGCCCTATGACGTTCGGACACTTCACTTCGTGGCCTGCGGACGACCTTGGCTACTACACTGGCGCATGGGTACAATGACTTGTTGTGGTAACATTTTGTGGAAGCTAGCTTAGTATACGACTTTTCCCCCTGCAATTGAAGATTTCGGCGTGCGCGCGCGAAGAAAAAACGAATGTGTCCCATATGGTATTATTTGACAGGGATGATGGCCCTGGCAGGCGCGCAACCTTTGTTGCAGAAGTTCGAAGCACGTGAAAAAGTTGCTCGCAAGAGCCCGTTTGACAGAAATGTTGGAAAAGTATTGGGTTTCCTAAGAAATCCGCAAGAGCGCGCGGGGTGAATTTTTGAAACCTTTTTTTTGAAAAACCATTGGGTTTTTCATGCTTTTATGTGAAAATCGCTACGAAGACTAAGGTTTTGGAAGGATTTCGTCTTGCGCGCGCGAATGTGCACTTCGTGTCATTTTTTGCAAGGGATTCGTGAAGTTTGGTCATGTTAGAACAAGAAATGTCCACTTTGCCTTATTTTTTGCAAGGGAAAACCGATCGTAACAACACAACCGGATCCGGACACCCACGTTTTGCCTGAGACTTCCTCACGAAAATGATGAAAATGTGGCTGCGGCCTAGGCGCGGCGGGGGGGGGCGCGCACCAGGGGTCCCAACAATAATTATTCTTAAGAAGAAATAATGTTCAACAACAACAACAACAACAACAACAACAACAACAACAACAACAACAACAACAACAACAACAACAACAACAACAATTACTAGCACGTGGGGACACTCCGTTCTCACCAGTGCCAGGGTTTTCATAGGAGGCGGGCAATACCCCCACTTTGTGGGGGGCCGGTTCAAGCTCTACCAAATTTCCAAACGACTTTTCGCCACCACCCACACCCAGCTTCCCGCCCTATGACGTTCGGACACTTCACTTCGTGGCATGCGGACGACCGTGGCTACTATTCAAGGCCCCGCGGCCGACGACGACGGCGTGCGCGCGCGAAGAAAAAACTAATGTGTCCCGCATGGTATTATTTGACAGGGATGATGGCCCTGGCAGGTGCGCAACCGTTGTTGCAGAAGTTCGAAAAAGTTGCTCGCAAAAGCCCGTTTGACAGAAATGTTTAAAAAGTGCTGGGTTTCCTACGAATCCGCAAGAGCGCGCGGGATGAAATTTTGACAAGTGTTTTTTTTTTTTTTAAAAAAAAAAAAAAAAAAAAAAAAAAAAAAAAAAAAAAAAAAAAAAAAAAAAAAAAAAAAAAAAAAAATGTTTTTTATGTTTTTATGTTACAATCGCTACGAAAACTAAGGTTTTGGAAGGATTTCGTCTTGCGCGCGCGAATGTCCACTTTACCTTATTTTTTGCAAGGGATTCTTGAAGTTTGGTTATGTTAGAACAAGAAATGTCCACTTTAGCTTATTTTTTTGCAAGGGAAAGCGGGCCGTAACAAAACAACCGGATCCGGACCAACCCGTTTTGCCTGAGACTTCCTCACGAAAATGATGAAAATGTGGCTGCGGCCTAGGCGCGGCGGGGGGGCCGCGCACCAGGGGTCCCAACAATAATTATTCTTAAGAAGAAATAATGTTCAACAACAACAACAACAACAACAACAGCAGCAACAACAACAGCAGCAACAACAAGTTTGATACTGTTCGCTCTTATCTGCTCGAGTGTCCGTTAACGCGTACTTCCCAAACCCTCCATATCCACCCTCTTCGTCTTCGATCGTACCCCTTTTGGGGGGTATACCTTTCTTCCCTGCAGGACGGGCCCCAGCAAGCGGCGGGGCGGCCGCGGACCGTCGGCCTGGCCAGCGGCAGCGCTGATCGGCGGCAACCCGACCCCAAGGGGGACGGACAGGGGACCGACCACGACCACGACGACGACGACAACGACGACGACGACGACGACGACGACGACGACGACTTCGACGACGGCGACGGCGACGACGACGACGAGCGAAAGCGAGAGCGAGAGAGAAAACGACAGCAGGACCACGAAGGGCACGAAGTAGGCCACGAAAGGCGACAGCGGGAACGAGCGGGGGCAACGAAGGGCAGATAATGCGGGGCCACATGAGGCAACGACGGGGCCACTGAGGGTAGCAACTGGGCCGCGTAGGACAGTGAGGGGGCCACAAAGAGCGACAACGGGGCCACGAAGGACATGCACATGGGGCCACGACGGGCGCGAACGAGCGGACGCCACGAAAGGCAGACATATTTTGGGCCGCGGAGGGCAAGGACGGGGCCACTGAGGGCAGCAACGGGGCCACGAAGGGCAGCGAGGGGGCCACGAAGGGCGACAGCGGGGCCACGAAGGGCATGCGTATGGGGCCACGACGGGCGCAGACGAGCGGGGGCCACGAAGGGCATACAGATATGGGGCCACGAAGGGCAGCGAGGGGGCCACCAAGGGCTGCAACGGGGCCACGAAGGGCAGCGAGGGGGCCACGAAAGGGTACAACGGGGCCGCGAATGGCAGCAAGGGGGCCACGAAAGGGTACAACGGGGCCGCGAATGGCAGCGAGGGGGCCACGAAAGGATACAACGGGGCCACGAAGGGCAGCGAGGGGGCCATGAAGGGCTGCAACGGGGCCACGAAGGGCAGCGAGGGGGCCACCAAAAGGGTACAACGGGGCCACGAAGGGCAGCGAGGGGGCCACGAAGGGCTGCAACGGGGCCACGAAGGGCAGAGAGGGGGCCACGAAGGGCTGCAACGGGGCCACTGAGGGCAGCAACGGGGCCACGAAGGGCAGCGAGGGGGCCACGAAGGGCTGCAACGGGGCCACGAATGGCAGCGAGGGGGCCACGAAGGGCTGCAACGGGGCCACGAAGGGCAGCGAGGGGGCCACGAAGGGCTGCAACGGGGCCACGAAGGGCAGCGAGATCCCGATTCTTAAATAAACTGTGAGGGAGTCCTAGGCGTGAGCGCGCGACTCCTGGGTGCCTGAATGTCGGGAGCGCGGCGCTTGAGTAAATTGCAAGAAGTTCAAACGCAAGGGCGCTAGTCTTGAGTAAATTGCGAGCAAGTCTCCAGCGAGAGCGCGACTCCAGAGCGCCGAGAGAGCGATTCCGGAATAAATTGTAAGGAAGTCCCAAGCGAGAGCGCGATTCCTGCATAAAATGCGACGAAGTCTCAGGCGGGAGCGGGTGTCCTGGCTAAATTGTGAGGAAGTCTCAGGCGGGAACCGTTGTTGTTGTAATCCGGGGGCCAACAACACAGTATGAGGAGGAAGACTTATAAAAAGCAGGGTGCGAGCGCCGGGAGGGGCACTCCAAAAGAAAAAACAATATGCACCGGAGGGGGGTGATCAACAATAACTATTCTTCAACAGTGAGAGGTTACCTCCCCAGAAACGGTACTTCCCCTCCCAGCAACTGGACCTCACGACTTGAAGGCCCCCCTGCGCGGCTGGGCCACCATGGGCGCTGCCGAGGCGGGCTGAGCGGCGGGCCCGCTGGCGCCGACCCTGATCCGCAGACCGTCCGCCATGTCGGACACCTGCTGGGCCGGCGGGGTTCTCCGGTGGGGCGTGGGCGGAGAGGGCCGAAAGCGCCCCGACTGCGTGGTCGGGCTCCTCTCTTCGTGGGCTGCGGGCTACGCTCGCGCCCAAAGTCTGGGGCGTCGCAAATGGAGTCTGACAGGGTGCTGTGTTCGATGCCGCCAGCAGTCGGGGAAGCGTAGGACTCGGGTTCGGGGGGCCCGCGTTGGCCTGACGGGGCCATCATGAAAATGACGAGACCCAGTCTGAAATTTGACGCGAGCCCCCATCTGCAAACATCCCACGAAAGCTGGAACGTCAAAATCCAAGACGCGCTCGTCAAAATCGCCGGCAAACCCGAGTTCCGGCGCACTCGAGTCTTACGCTTCCCCGCACAGCCTGCGAGGGCATGACGCGCTCAGGTAACAGCAAATACGCAGTGCCCTCCCAGAGAAAACGCGCGAAACTCCGCGAACGGGATTCGTGATCGCGGCGCGAGCCCAACCTTGTGATCTAGCAGCGACCAGATGCGACGACCTCTTTGGTACCAAGGATTGCAAAAAAACCTAGGATTGCAAAAAAAAAAACCCTCGAACGAAGGATTGCAAAAAAAACCTAGCAATCCTTCGTTCTAGGGTTTTTTTGCAATCCTGGGTTTTTTAGCAATCCTTCGTTCTAGGGTTTTTTTGCAATCCTTCGGTTTTTTTGCAATCCTTTTTGCAATCCATCTGCCTGTCACTCCAGCAACCAGTCCCGGAGTCAGCTTTCAGTCTGGACTGGGAGCGCGGGAAGGCCCGGCGAGAGCATCGAAGCCTTGGGGCCCACAACCCGGGCCCATGACAGCCCAGAGGGTGCTCAGATGCCCCATGGACAGCCCAAGGATGGTCACAGAAGGCCCAAGAGGCCTCG